AGTCTGGATCCAATGTCGTCAAGTCTCAAGTCACAACTCTGAGATACTGAGCTGTCTCTTATACACATCTAGATGTGTATAAGAGACAGGGGTATAGGGGGATATAGGGGTGGTATAGGGGGTATAAGGAGGGGGGTGTGAGGGTGTTGGGGGGCGGTATGGTGGTGTTGTGGGGGTGTATAAAGGTGTTGGTGGGGTTATTGGTGGTTACGGACCCTGCAAAAAAAGCTTCTTTTTTTTTTTTTTTTTGCAGGGTGCCGACCAACACCCGACCAGTTGGTGCCAACCGGTGGAAGAGTCGGCTGGTCGGTCGCCGACCAATCCAGGGGCGCCGACCGTCGGCCTGACTGCTCTGATAAAAAGGGGAAATATAGAAACACAGAGCATGACGAGGAGAACAGGAGGAGGAGGAGGAGGAGGAGACAGAGATGTAGAGAAGAAGAAGAAGAAGAAGAAGAAGAAGAAGAAGAACAAGGCTGTCCTGCAGTATTCCTTGTCTCTTTGTCGGCACTGTTTTCAATGCATAACAGCACAGAGCATGCTTCTGCCACCTTCTTCGTGATGTATTTTTCATGGCATTGCTGCATCGGACTTTTCCTGTTGGGTTGATGGAATCCTCTTGAAGGCCAGAAGGCAAATCATGAATGACATGAACCTCACGAGTTGGCTTGTAAAAAGGTCCCCATTCGCATGCATTTCTGTAATTCAGTTTTGTCTAACCATGCATGGTTGTTGTTGTTGTACCAGATTGTTGTTGCTACAAACATTGCAGAGACCAGTATCACCATTGATGACATTGCGTATGTTGTCGACAGCGGAAAACACAAGGAGAACCGCTATAATCCACGAAAGGTAGGGACTTCCTCTGCCTTGATACGCTGCCTGAGCGCAGCCAAGTTGCGAGTCCGAATGACTCTAGTGTATGCTTACCTGCACTCTCAGTTACCGAGATGGTGTCATTCACAGTCGCCGAAGCGAAGCCGGACTTTACACACCGGCAGTAAAGAAAATGATAAAGAAAAAAAAAAAAGGAAAAAAAAAGAAAGAAAGATAAAGACAAGAAATCAACATCAAGTGCACGTGAAAGGAACAGTTGCGATCTTTTTTGTATTGCAAAAAAAAAAAATCTTGTTGTTTTTTCAACTTTTTGGCTAGGCTACCAGCCGGGCCGCCCGGGTCCTGGGTGGCCAGCCCGTGCAAGGACCAGGGAAGGTCCCAGCCCAAAAAAAAAAAAAAAAATCCGAAAAAAAACTATGTTATGCAGAAAAATAAACTGAACAACTTTTGCCTCAGGGTCACATCGAAATTCTGCACCAAATTTAGAATAAAAAATAAAAATTTATTTTTTATTTTAATTTTTATTTTTTAATTGTTTTTTCCCGGCCGGGCAAGTGACCCCGGGCCACTCTGGTAGCCTAGCTTTTTGGTCTATTTTCAATTTTTTTCTTGTCGGAATGATTATTGTATTTTGTGTAGTGAAATAACCATGATTCTAAAAAACGATTTGTAGTACTTAGTTGGGAATAATTGCAAAATTTTCAGTTGCTTTAAAGGTTATTGAATTCGATTCTTTTTTGCAATGAAATACTAGAAATAGTACTAACACAGCCACAGTCCAAGGGACTCTGATGGACTCACAGTCCCCATCCAAATTCCAATGGTGTCTATACTTTGGTTGGACCATACCTCAGAACTAGAGCAATGCAGACAAGGGCAAAACGGGGAAGAAGGTGAAGTCAACAAATAAACGAAGTGTATTTTATGTTTGGTTGGCAGTCAATGGATGCTTAAACTCCCCCACCTCGTCGTTGGCTTCTGTGACTAGGGTATGACTTGTCTTGTGGAAGCGTGGATCTCCAGAGCTAATGCCAAGCAGAGGCAAGGGCGTGCTGGACGTGTCAGGGAGGGGCATTGTTTTGCGCTCTACACAAAACACAGGCACTCTGTGCTCATGCGCATGTATCAGGTTACTCTCTCTCTCTCTCTCTCTCTCTCTCTCTCTCTCTCTCTCTCTCTCTCTCTCTCTCTCTCTCTCTCTCTCTCTCTCTCTCTCTCTCCCCCCTTCAGGCCCTGGCTTGGCTTTTTTTTCTCCCCCTTCTTGTTTGCTCTTTGTTGTTAGGATGTACCCCCCATTGTATGAAATTGCCCTGACTAGGCATGGTACTTATCATTGTTGCTTATTGCTATTAGCATGTAACAAAAGACTGTTAATTTCATAATGTCAAGGTTTACAGCCTAGTGCAATGAACCCACAAGTTCACACCGTTTTTTTTTTGTTTTTTTTTTTTGGTACACACAACACCACACAGCCCTTCGGTTGTGGGGAGCGCCATTGCGGTTGCTTATCCCCGGCAAGCATAGACATGTAAAAGGTGAGGAAACAAAAGGAGGAGAAAGAAAGAATTTTCAGAGGGAGGGAATACTGTCGCCCCTAGGCAGCCCAGCGGCCGCTTTTCACACTACAGCAAGTCCACACTTCATTAGACCACGCTCCAAGCATGAGACACAACCAACACAAGATGAGAGCACTGGAAATTGTTCAAAAATTCGAAGGCTTAAAGCAAAGGCTTATGTATGCACATTCAGGCGGCTATGGCCGCCAGCTCACATCTAATAATAGGTACGTCTCGATCCCTCGGCTATACTACTGTTGCATACTGTAACGTGCAGACCAGAACAAGAACCGACCTTTCAATACAAAGTATAAGATAGCACAGCGGAAGACTTAGATACTAATGATCCGAACAATCATTATTGCAATGCAGCCCTGAACACACATCATCATCATCGTTATCTGGTGTGAAGGGGGTCTGGCGCTTCACACAAGAAGACTGCGCCAGCCCCAACCATACACAGACGAAGAAGGAGGGGTTAGACGAAAGAGGAGGGAAGATGGGAATGTCGTCAACACCAAGTCTCGGTACAGGCCCAAATAGTCCCTCGTCGAAATGTCTGAATCCCAATGTCCAGTCTGGATCCAATGTCGTCAAGTCTCAATTCACAACTCTTTCTCTCTCTGCCGTAGTCTGAGAAGTCAGGTGGCGAGAGGGTGAGAAGAGATGGGTGACTTAGAAGAGGAAGAAGAAGAACTCTCTCTCTCTCTGTGTCCAGTTCTAACCTGTGAAGTTGGCGCCTTGATGCAGGTACCTCGAAGATGGAGCTGGAGCGATGGCGCCACAGGTAAGTACCACTGGCCTCCGCCAGTATCTCTCCCAACTCTGCGATCTACCACCTACCAGCGCCCAGCGCTGAAGACTACTGCTATGGCTAGGGGCGCCCAGCGCCGAAGACTACAGCTAGCGCTAATACTACTGCCTAGCGCTGAAGACCACTGCAGCGCTCCTCCTGAGTGCTGCGGCCGAATCCTGAAGACTACTCGTGCCTACTGACAACTACCTCCTGCCTGTAGGGCGGGCCAGTCTTATATAGTGCTCGCCCGTCCAGGAGGCTGCTCTTGCCAATGCCCAAACGTGCTAGACCCTGAGGAAGCTTCCGGAAGGTTCCCAGGTAGCTTCTGGCTAAAGCCTGAGGAAGCTTCCGGGAAGTTTTTATAGGCCCTTGTTTTCAGGCTGTCAGGCTGAAATGACACGGGGCCTGTAAGCCCTGGTTTTCAGGCTGTCAGGCTGAAACAGACACAGGGCCTGCAGGCCCTGGTTTTCAGGCCGGCAGGCTGAAACAGCCACGGGGCCTGTAGGCCCTGGTTTTCAGGCCGTCAGGCTGAAACAGCCACGGGGCCTGTAGGCCCTGGTTTTCAGGCTGTCAGGCTGACATGGACACGGGGCCTGTAAGCCCTTGTTTCTAGGCTTTTAGGCTGAGACTGTGGGACCGGCCCTGCAGGCCCGTGTGGCTACGCAGTATGCCACAACTACCCTCAGGCCTCGACCTCTCTGTGAATGCCTTCCTCGCTCATCGATGTCTCTCTCACTCTCAAGCTAAGATATGGCATCGCGCGCTGTTCACTATTCCACACACTGCCTCTCATCCTCACTCAATGCTTGGTAGCACAGGACTGTGACAGTGCTTCCACAGCAAGGTCAGATGGAAATTGTGTTGCCAGCTTGACGCTTTGCTGCCGGTGGACTTTTGTATTCCGCTGCAGTTCCCGATCGTGGTCATTTCTGGACTGGTGCCTGCCTTTGCCGGCCGTGTTCGGCCTTCGATGCATCGGGAAGTTTCTCTGACTTCCGTGGGACTGACCCGGCGAGTGACTGGACTGACCCGGTGGACTGGACTGACAGACCTACCGGACTTGGCCTAAGTGCACCCTACCTACCGAATGCTACTATTATACGGGGGAGTCTGGCCCTGTCTGGGACCTGGGACCGGAACTGGGACGTCGATGCTGAGAGGTCTGAGACCCTTTTACTGGTAACAACCAAATATCACAGTAGACTCTACCAGCGACCAAAACAACAACTGCAAATTTCATAATAACAAGGCACTTGATTTCCTTTCTGTTTGGAGGTTAAGAGGTACGTGAGAATTCATCAAGTGCTGCAAGCACGGAAAAGTCCAGCAAAGTGGTTAGAGGCCTATGGAAATCGGCAGTATTCTTGATTTGATGCATCTGGATTCGAACTCGGGTCTGTATTTCAACAGTCCATGGGCGTCCCAACTGCCCGTTGGTACAGCTATGCATTCTACAGTCCCACACTACAAAGTTGCTGGGGCGACCCAGCTCATCGTCTGGTTATGAGTGACTCTGTAGCTTGCATGAGTTGATCGCAACAAGAGGGCCAAGCTAACAGCAAGCAGGTTGGTCACACGCATGTGCTGTAAACGGAACCTGCATTTGCTGTGGAGGATGGAGGACTGCAAGAGCGATGACCAGCCCGTCAATTGGGATGCGGGCATGCCTGAGGAAGAACCTGCAGACGGGATGAAACATTGCTACAAGGTTTGGGAAGGGACACTGAATCTCGGTGACAGAGATGGGCTTGTTGAGAGTGCGTTGTGTCGAGGGTGTTTGGACGGTGGATGGGAACTAGCCAATCCACTGACAGACCGGTGATGGTGGGTGGCTGAAGAATACGGCATCAGATTATGCCAATGATGAACTGGATGAGATGGCCACTCTTGAGGATGCGGATTGTGAGAGAGCGCACTGCACAGCATCAGCAAGAGGAGGGAGAGAGAATCCAGTAGGAAGATGCCCCAGTCTCATCTGCCAAGAAGGCATTGGATCTGGATCTGACCATGGGCAGACTGCAAGGCATGGGAAACAGGAGAGTGTATGTGCCTGGGGCACATCTTGGAAAGAAGAGGAAAACCGAGGAAGGGTGAGAACTGGAAGCTGCAGTCACATAGGTGAGGCTTGTTGTCCAAATAACGTTGTCTTCACTCCAAGGCAGCATGTAGCACCAGCACCAGCACCAGCAGCAGCAGAGGGTGCTGTGCAGACATGTACTGGGAACAAATGCAGGCAAAGTTGACCCGAAACTGGGTGATCTAGCCATGAGCAGGTTGAAGAGAGTCCTAACGGGCCTTGGAGGACCGAACCCACGTATCTGGCAAAATTCGGGAATGACTGGGTGATCTAAGTGACTCACTGCAAGCTGCAGCTATAGCTCTGCAAAAAGAGTCAGACCACATGGTGAAGGAAGTTGGTATTGAAAGAAAAGAAAAAGTGTACATTGGTACGATTGTACCTGAAGTCTTGAACAGGATATGGTTCCTTAGGTAGTACATTGTACACTCTTTTGTACGTACGGAAAAACAGCAAAGTGAAAAAGAAAAAAAAGGAAATTGCTGTTGGTTTGTACGGGTGCAAAGGCAGGTGCCACACCGCCTGCTGTGTGTGCAGTGGTGTGGTTGTACGTGTTTGTTATAGTGATTGTTTATGTTTTTGAGATACTTTCATGGTTTTGTTCTTCGTGTCCACACCGTGTTGTTGTCATTCTGTGCTGTCAGAGTTTGTTTGTTATCATTGATTTGAGCCTCGTGAGTTCATGCGAGGTTTGACTGTCAGCTTCTGGTGTTGACTTTTCTAGGCCTTAATTGAAGTGAATGGCATTATTGTTTTACGATGCGCGGAAGACTCTTTGGTCACAATGTTGAGCAAGTTTGTGTAAAGTTGTGAACTGCCATAAATTTTAGTTTGAAACTTTGAAAAAATTTTTGGTGGACGCCGGGCGGACTAATTGTGCGTGTTCTTGTGATATCTTTGAGGCTTGCGCTGACATTGTGCCTGTTATTGTGATATCGGCGTACCTGTTGTTGTCTCCGTCGCGAATCAGCTTCCAGAAATGCTCCGTGTCTCGCTCGTGGAACTGTGCCTGCAAATTATGGTTCTGAATCTGGCGCCGGTTTCATCATTTCTGGCAAAGGTGGGTGTATCTGAAGTCTGTGGAGGGTGTGAAAATTTTTGTGAATCTCAAAAAAAAAAAAAAAAAAAAAAAACACTTGTTACTAGTTGTTAGTTGTTACTTCACTTCTGATCCGTTTTTTGGATGTTCAGATGCCAACAGCTGTCCTTGCAGTAGCTCTGCCAATTCCTGACGAGGTTCCCGGCTTTTCCTTCTTCGTCCTTTTGTCTCTCATCTTTTTTGTCTATGTCTCTTTGTCAACCACTGTGCTTCTCCATTTGTTGACTTATGCATGTCATCCTTGCGCAGGGCCCATGCTAATCTTCTCTGTGTGCGAAATTTGAAAACCAGCAATGGCAGCAATTGATTTATGAAATTGTTGATCACTTTGTTTGCCAGACCATTCATTGGCCCATTGTGGCCATGCTAATCTTCGGTGTACGCGGAATTCGAAAAGCAGCAATGGAAGCAAGTGATTTATGAAATCGTTAGTCGGTTTGTTTGCCCGACCACTTGTTGGCCTGTAATCAAACCTCTTTGAGTTTTCTGTCACCCATTAGCTCTTGGTATATTTCAGAATTCCCCCCCCCCCCCCCCCC